TTCATGCTACCTCCAATGCGACCGGCGAATTTGACATGGCGGAATGAAAATGCTGCTGATGTGCATGCTATATCAATTGACACAGATGCTGAGAAGGAAAAAAGTAAATCAAACAAGACGTCAAATCGCAAAAGGAGCAGAGGGTAGTGCGCTTGATTGGCCTTAAATGTGTGGCAGTGAGCGGCATTTTATAGGACAAATCCATACACATATTTATACATATATATATATATATATATATATATATATATATATATATATATATATATATATATATCTCGATTTTAAAACTGTTCAATTTAAGCCTAATATTGAAACGCTTTGTGCGATTTTTAACAATTACTGATATTTTTATGAGATATAACGCGTTTTTTTCACCTTAAAATGTATTTAAGAGAGGCACTAGTTAGATTTCTCACGAGAAGATGCTGCTCAACTTTAACAGCAGAACTAAATGGTGGATCGAATCAATGTGACGCTACTTATCTATTATTCAGCAGCTGATATATCGAAGCTGATAACGACATGAATGGTGCAAATGGAGTTGATGTTTAGGGCTTAAAACACTCCTTTGTAATAAATTGGGGAATTTATAAGGCCATCGTGGTGAGTCATATTTTAATTTCCAACCATTCGGGGCAACATTCTTAGTAAAGTTCGTCATGAGGTTATCTAAGCAGTATCAAACTGAAGACAGAAATAAGTTTAATTCCTCCTGAGTTCTCTTTGGCTTACAACCATTTTAAGCTCTAATATACTGAACAACAGGGCTTAAATAGCCATTGACGGATATAACTACAACAGGCTAAATGTGGTTAAAAGCAGAAGAATTAAATGAAGTCTTAGTCCGATCTGTTAAGTTCATTTTAAATGCTACTTGATCAAATATGTAGAAATGCTCTTAAGATAATAGAACAAAGAAACACGTTGAGGAGATTTCGAAAATTCGGAGTAATTTTGGAAGAAGTCCACAAGTATGGCACACCTTTTAAAGTTATTATTATGCGTCTGAATATTTATTTATTTCAATTGGCAGGCTTTGTGATATTTATCATTAACCCTTAGATTTTGACTTCAGCTTCCCCCAAGGGGGGGGGGGTACATTTATAGCAGTTAATTGTACAGCCCATGGGTGGGGGGTACATATATAGCAGTTAATTAATAGCAGACATTAGCAGTCTTCTTGCTTCCCAGTATCTTTGGCTTTCCTGTAGCTGTCTTCTTGCTTCCCAGTATCTCTGGCTTTCCGTAGCTGTCTTCTTGCTTCCCAGTATCTTTGGCTTTCCGTAAGCTGTCTTCTTGCTTCCCAGTATCTCTGGCTTTCCGTCGTTAGGGCTGGACATCGAATCAGGTGGGTCTTCTCCATTTCAGGATCTCTGGCTTTCCGTCCTTGTCTTTAGAGCTGGACACCGAATCCAGGTGGGTCTTCTCCATTTCCTCCTGTAGGTTACATAGAAGACATGTACTTCTCCATTTCCTCATGTAGGTTACATAGGGGGCATGTGAGTTGAGTGTATACTCCCAATCTGTGAAGGTAGCCAGTGTATACTCCCAATCTGTGAAGGTATTTTGCCAGGCAATCGTGTCCGGTACGTAGTCTAAACTCAGCAACGGCTTTGATTCTTGGCCTGTCGGGTATGTCGGAGTGTGCCACTGTCCACTGTTTATCCTTTGTTTGAGCTTTAAGTTCGTTGCACCTTGAGGTCTGGAATTCTCTTCTGATTAAGGCCTTCATTGTGTGGAAAGACATCGGCTGGTCCATGCATTGCAAAATCGTTGTCCCCTTCTTAGCAAGTGTGTCAGCAAGCTCATTGCCTTTAATGCCATAGTGACCAGGAATCCATTGTAGGACCACTGTTTTGTTTTTCTCTCTCAGCAGCTCATAGAGTTTTCTACTTTCCTTTATCTCAGCTGTTTTGGGTGGCTCTCTGTTTCCAATTGAGTTTATTGCTGACTGTGAGTCCGAAAGTTTCACCGTTTTGGTGAATTTCGTATCCTGGCAACATAATTGGCATAGTGCTATCCTAATGGCCTCTATTTATCCTTCAAAAGCGGATCTATTGTGTCCAACTGCTGTGTAGAAAGAGAAGATTTCAGAATAGACACATGCACCAACGTTTGCTTGGCTTTCTATATATGACTCATCAGTGAAGACTTGGAGCCATTGATCTGCAGGATAGTTGACATTGATTGTCTCAAGGGCCAGAGAGCGCATTTGCTCTGGATGGGGTGTTTGATTTCCTGAAGAATTCGAGCAGTTGGGTGCAACACACTATATCAGTGCCTGCTAATGGGTTCATGGGTAGAGAGAGGCTTTTTGGTTTGTCATCGATTTGTAATTCTTTCTTCAGTTCTATGGCTTTCTGTATTAGACCAGATTGCGTTTTGAGATGTCTTGGTCTATTTTCATAGGTGCTGAAGAACTTATCCATGGGAATACGCAGTAGCTTCTCATACAGGATCAAGGCCTTTTCTTTGATAAAGGAACATATTGTGGTGCTTCCTGTAACTAGGAGCATTGCATCA